TCACATATATCAGGCAGTGGGGAATGAAAACTTGTTTTCCCTTTGAATCAGATTGGCTTTCTCACAGAAAGCAAGACTTCTTATTTTACTTATAAAATTGTCATTTTGATGAAAAAGTCTTTAGACAGAAATAGGCTACTGAGGAAGAACAGCACTTTATTGCGGTGCAATCTAGTGTTGGGTTAAGTGCTATTCAAGACATTGTAAATGAATGAAAAAGTAATGGAGATCGGTAGGAATTTGTATCTTGCATTTGCATTTCGAGAGCATAGTGACGTCTTGTGTTCCTTACGTTTTCTGTACTTGTTCTTAAGCCTGCACTACTGCGATGGGTCTGAAATCCATCTCCATGTTTCAGGGCATCTAGTGACGGCTCCAGGATTCTGATGGACCCCACGAGAGACGACACGCATCCCTTCGTCGGCCTGGCCTTCAAGCTGGAGGTGAAGCAGGGTTGTGTGAACCGAAGGAAGGGTTTCTCAGTTCTTTGAGCGGTGTTTGATTAGCGGCGTGTGTGCAGGCGGGGCGTTTCGGGCAGCTGACGTACGTGCGTGTGTATCAGGGCTGTTTGAGGAAGACGGAGTACATCCACAACACCCGCTCGGGGAAGAGGGTGAGGGTCCAGAGACTGGTGCGACTCCACGCCGATCAGATGGAGGTGAGGCGCGTCTGCTGCTGTGCTTCAGGCAGATCTCTCACCAGCAGAGTCTGAGAGTGAGTGTGTTTCTGTGCTCTTCAGGACGTGGAGGTGGTGTTCGCCGGCGATATCTGCGCTCTGTTCGGCGTCGACTGTGCCAGCGGAGACACCTTCACTGCCCGCACTAATGCCAACCTCTCCATGGTATGTGATGAAGAGCAGTCATCCTCACTAAACCTGTCTGGCTCATACTCACCAACTCAGGTTTTGCGTTTTATTTTGCATTGAACAACAGTAATATTGTGAAGCTGTGTTTTCTAAGTGAATATCTGTTAAACTGTAATGTATTTCTGTGATGTGCAGCTGTATTTTCAGCATCATTCCTCCAGTCTTCAGTGTCACATGATCTTCAGAAATCAGTATAATATGCTGAGAAACATTTCTGATTATTATCAATGTTGAAAACAGTCGTGCTGCACAATATTTTTGTGGAAACCGTGATGCATTTTATTTTTCTGGATTCACAGATGAATAGAAAGTTCAAAAAAACAGCATTTATTTGAAATAGAAATCTTTTGTGACATTATACATGTCTAGTTTGATAAGTTTCATGCATTATTAAATACATTTCACACTGGACCCAAACATTTGAGTAGCATATACATAAGACTGAAGAGTTATGATTGGTTTAGTATTGATTTTCACAGATTTCGAGCTCAATTTTGAACAAATATAAAACACCTCATCAGTCACAGGAAAGATTATAATCTGTGAGCAGTGTCATTTTTGTATCATTGAGATATTATTATAGTTGAATCAGTTTTCAATTTTCATTTTTTTTTTTTTGTAATGTGTACATTGTTTTTATTCATTTTTTTGCAGTTTGAGTTATTTTAGTTCCTCAAGGGAAACTAAAATGAACCCTAGCAACTGGCTGAAATAAAGTTGATTTTTTTTTTTTCCCAAGTAATGATTTTTGTTTAATGGTTTTTCTGAGTGTGAGAACTCAAATTTTGACCAAATGTGCAGTGAACATCGTGGTAGTTGTTCTGGTGTTGTAATGCTGTTTTACAGTGGAAATGTACAGTAATCCTAATGATGTGTATTCGCAGGAATCCATTCACATTCCTGATCCTGTGATCTCTATGGCCATAAGAGCCTCCAACAAGGTAGACTCACACACTCGTTCTCTCACAGTGGCCCTTCAGACACAGACTAATGCAGCGTCTTCTGTCCTCCAGAACGACACAGACAAGTTCTCCAAGGGAATCAACCGCTTCACCAGAGAAGATCCCACGTTTAGAGTCCACTTTGACACGGAGAGTAAAGAGACCATCATCTCGGGCATGGGAGAGCTGCATCTGGAGATCTACTCGCAGGTACTGAGCGCATGCATCTGTGTGTCTGTGTAACCACACACGCATCGCATGATAATCTGGAGATAATCTGTGCGTTACAGAGGATGGAGAGGGAATATAACTGTCCGTGTGTGATGGGCAAACCCAAAGTGGCCTTCAGAGAGACGGTGACCAGCGCTGTGCCGTAAGTCCTGCATTTACACACACGGGGAAAACACTTTCATAGCTGCTGGTCGGATAAAGATCTCATCCTAAACTAAAACCAGAAACATTTGCATTGTTTGAAGTAAGCACTAAAGGTCCACTGAAGTGCCTTGAAAGTGCAGCATTATCATATGTGCTGAAGACAGGGCGGGACAAATGGAGCAGCTCCGCCCCTTTTTTTTAAAAAAATAGCCAGTTGCGTTTCGTTTGTATCTCAGCTTGGCCAGAGCCGTCGGTTGAGCTCGGCAAACCAGACTTCATACACCCCAGTGGAAAGCGCACGGTTTGAATCGTTCCCTATCCTCTATATAGTGCACTACGTGTCGTTCAGCATACAGAAAACACTAACAAGTGAGCGATTTCAGCCACAGCTTCATAGTGTCGGGGGCGGGACGCTTCGGATTCTAGACAGCTTCTGATTGGACAGAAGATCTGAAGGGCAGTGCGATGTCATCAAAATCCTTGATCTGTATTGGCAGTAGACTGAAGCTGCGTCCCAAATGACGCACTAGACACTATGCCCTTAAACACTGTGTACTTGTGCACTATGTACTCAACCGTATAGCATATGAATTTTACAGTGATTTTGTCATTCATAATCAGAATCTGACAGCCCCTCCTCCTCGCGTAATTAAAGCTGCCACAGTTGAGTGCATGAAGCGTTATTTCGGTTAATCAAGTGCATCATCCGGGTTTTTAGTGTGCTTTTTCTTTTTGTAATTTTCAGTGTGAACACACTAATCACTATTTATTAGCGGTGTAACGGCACACAAACATGACGGTTCGATACGTACCTCGGTTTTGATGTCACGGTACAGCCAGGGAAAACTAAACATAATTGTTGTTTTTTTTATTAAACAGTGGTTTACTGAAAAATCGCTCTTTCTTTAATTAAATTCAGTTATAATTAATATTTTCTTAGGGATAAAAATCTACGCTCTAAACTATAGGGAGCCCTTTTACATTAGGCTACTATAAGATTACAGTTAACAACAGAGCCCAAATTTAATTTAATTACTATTTATTTTTAAATATAACAAGCAACACTCAAC